TCCCTCCCGCTGCGCCCCACCCCGGGTCCCCGCACCCTGGAATTCCCAGCCTCTCCCCTCGGGGCGGGCCGGGGGGGGCTCTGGAGGTTGGGTCCTGGCTCCCGGGGCCCGCGGGAGATGCTCGGCGGCTGGCGGCGCCGTCTCCCGCGAACCCCCCGCCCGGTCCTCCACCGGGTCCTGCCGGGGTCTGCGGCCGGGCTTCCCCGGGACGCAGAGCTGGGCCTGGCGGGAAGACCTCGCCAGCCTCCCCTCCCCGTCTCCCAGCTGCAGATCCCCGGGCAGGAAGGGCTGCCCGAGCGCGGGGACCTGCGGGAGAGCTAAGCCCTCTCCGTTTCAGCACCACATAGCCCAGCAGGGAGGGGCTGCACAGCCCCGGTCAGGTCTCCGCAGTGGACAGGGCCCGGGTGGTGCGTTTACCTACTCAAACCACCAGCTGAGGAGGCAGCATGGTCTGCATCTGTGACCCCATTCCATAACTGGAGAAACAGACCCAAGTGGATTGCAATGACCTGGCCTCCCTCTCATCCTCCCTCAGCCCTTTGTGCAGCCCTGGAAGGACGGGGGCGGGGGGTGGGGGGTTGTTAGGAGGGGCGGCACTGATCCAGGGCCCTCTGTCCTGCAGACATGTCCTTCCGTAAAGTGGTTCGGCAGAGCAAATTCCGGCATGTGTTCGGGCAGCCCGTCAAGAATGATCAATGTTATGAAGACATTCGGGTGTCCCGTGTTACCTGGGACAGCACCTTCTGCGCCGTCAACCCCAAGTTCTTGGCTGTGATCGTGGAGGCCAGTGGTGGAGGCGCCTTTATGGTTCTCCCCTTAGGCAAGGTAGGCCCCATCAGCTGTAGGGAGGAGGGCTGGGGGTGCCTGAGCCACACCCATGCGTATCTGCCCCATTCCCCTTTCTGAGCAGGTATCATAATCCTGAATTACTACCCAGAAGATATTAGCACAGGTAGAGAAGGTGTTTATTACCATCAGGTCAGAGACTATAGACATTTCCTGCTCACTTTATGGGTGGGGCCCATCTGGGTCACCCTTGAACCATGGTTCAGATGTCATTCTCCCTCTGTGGAGGGGCATAAGCCCCTGGGAGGGAGGCTTGTTGTCTGGGGTGGGGGGGTGGGAGGGTGTCTCTGCTGACTGTTTCCTCCCGCCCACAGACAGGCCGCATTGACAAGGCCTACCCGACAGTGTGTGGGCACACGGGACCTGTCCTGGACATTGACTGGTGTCCCCACAATGACGAAGTCATTGCCAGCGGCTCGGAGGACTGCACCGTGATGGTGAGCACACTGTTCAGGCCAGGGTCCTGGGCGTGGCTCCAAGCTGCTGGCCTGAGGTGGGGGCACAAGCGGAGCCTCAGCCCAGCATCCTCACCCCTACTGCAGGTATGGCAGATCCCGGAGAACGGGCTGACCTCCCCGCTGACGGAGCCAGTAGTGGTGCTAGAGGGGCACACCAAGCGTGTGGGCATTGTCACCTGGCATCCCACAGCCCGAAATGTGCTGCTCAGTGCAGGTCTGCACGGCTCTCCCACCCCCACGCCCTCTCCATAGGTGCCTCTCCCAGGCCCACATGACAGATAGGGAAACTGAGGCCTCCTGAGGTCCAGGGGGAGTTGGCAAAGTGGACCTGGTAGGCTGAGGCCCCTCTGCCTCCATACCCCTGGACTTGAAGTAACGTTCTCCTACGTGCCAGGTTGCGACAATGTGGTGCTCATCTGGAACGTGGGGACTGCCGAGGAGCTGTACCGCCTAGATAGCTTGCACCCCGACCTCATCTACAACATCAGCTGGAATCGCAACGGCAGCCTCTTCTGCTCCGCGTGTAAAGACAAGAGCGTGCGCATCATTGACCCCCGCCGGGGCACCTTGGTTGCTGTAGGTGGCCCAGGAGGGCGAGGATAGCTGTGGATAGGCCGAGGGGTTTGATGGATGCTGAACTGGCTACCTATCCTTCCCACAGGAGATAGAGAAGGCTCATGAAGGGGCCCGGCCCATGCGGGCCATCTTCCTGGCAGATGGCAAGGTGTTCACCACGGGCTTCAGTCGTATGAGTGAACGGCAGCTGGCACTCTGGGATCCAGTGAGTAATGTGGGGACAGCCTGAGGCGACAGCTTAGGGACTCAGGCTGCTGCCCCAGGGGGCTCCACTTAAGAGAGGGCTGTGCTTCCTGGACCCTTAGTTTGGCCCATGAGGCCCTCCAGACCCCAGGATCTTCCAACTCCTCCGTGTCCCTGCTGCCCAGCACTCCCTCCGATGCCTTCGCCCTTCTGAGCTGGCCCACAGTTGTGGGCATCTGCACTGACCTCCAGGGCCCCTTTGAGATAGGCTGGTGCTGCCCGGCCTTGCAGGCTCCCATGACAGTGATGTTCTCCACTTTTGGTTAGAGGCCTGGGAGGAGTCTTAGGCCTGGAAGAGGCCAAGAAAGCAGACACTAGCCGGGCGCTGGTAGCTCACACCTATAGTTCTAGCTACTCAGGAGGCTGAGATCTGAGGATCACGGTTCAAAGCCAACCTGGGCAGGAAAGTCCATGAGACTCTTTTTTTTTTTTTTGCCATGGGGCCTGAACTCTGGGCCTGGGCGCTGTTCCTCAGCTCTTCAGCTCAAGGCTAGCACTTTACCACTTGAGCCACAGCACCACTTCTGGCTTTTTCTGCTTATGTGGTGCTGAGGAATCAAACCGAGGGCCTCATGCATGCAAGGCAAGCACTCTACCACTGAGCCACCTTCCCAGCCCCGTGAGACTCTTCTCTAGAATAAACTACTAGAAAACTGACAGTGGTGCTGTGGCTCGCCTTGAGCTGAAGAGCTCAGGGACTGACAAAAAAAAAAAGTGGACACGGAGCAGAAAATCAGCAGCAGGTTGGGCAGTGTGACGTGTGAAGGCAGCTGAGGCCAGGGCTGAGGGGGCTGGGCTGAGGGGGCTGGCGTGGCCTGACTTCCCTCTGTGTTCCAGGAAAACCTCCAGGAGCCTATGGCCCTGCAGGAGCTGGACTCGAGCAATGGGGCCCTGCTGCCCTTCTATGACCCTGACACCAACGTGGTCTATGTCTGTGGCAAGGTGAGACCGGGTGGGGCTGGCTGACGCAGGGAAGGGGCACGGCCAGCTGCTGACCCCCTCTCCTCATAGGGTGACTCCAGTATCCGGTACTTTGAGATCACAGATGAGTCTCCTTTCATCCACTTCCTGAACACCTTCACCAGCAAGGAGCCCCAGAGGGGCATGGGCAGCATGCCCAAGAGGGGCTTGGAGGTCAGCAAGTGTGAGATTGCCCGGTAAGAGGGGCTGCTGAGGCGGGGTCCCGGCCTGGGTATGGGTCAGTCTGGGAACAGGGCCCAAGGACCCTCGAAGCAGAGAAGCAGGGTGGTCTGTCTGTGGGAAAGTCCCAAGGAGGCTGTGTGTGAGATCGCAGCTCTGCCTCTAAGAGGGTGGGAGGCAGCCAGGAAAGCTCTGCTCACTCATGGCTCCTCAACTCCCTTCCCAGGTTCTACAAACTACATGAGCGCAAGTGTGAGCCCATTGTTATGACTGTGCCAAGAAAGGTGAGGCCACGAGGCTCCCCTGCCCACCTGCTCGCTTTTCTAGCAGAAGAGCCGTACAGGCTGATGGGCTGGGCCTAAGAATGGGTGTGCTGGTGGGCTAGATGAACACCATTGTGTCCAAGATCTCACCCATGTGCTCACGGATGACAGGGAGAGCTGAGGTCCTGCTGTGAACAAGCCATAGGAGACAGACGCCAGTCAGGAGTGGCAGTCCTAGCCGAGTGCCGTGGCTCACGCCTGTAATCCTAGCTACTCAGGAGGCTGAGGATCTCAGTTCAAAGCCAGCCTGGGCAGGAAAGTCTGTGAGACTCTTATCTTCAATAAGCAGAAAACCAGAAGTAGCACTGTGGCTCAAATGGTAGAGCGCTAGCCTTGGGCTGAAGAGCTGAGGGACAGAGTTCAGGCCTTGAGTTCAAGCCCCAAGACTGACAAAAAAAAAAAAAAGAGGAGAGAGTGGCAGTCGTGGAGGGCCTCCTCAAAGAGGCAGGACCGCTGCAGGGTTTGGCAGAAGGTTGGAGCTGAGAGTGGAACGAGGGATAGGTGTTGTGGCTGCCGTGGAGTCAGGTGAAGAGGGGCCAGGCCACACGTGGCTTGGCCTCCGTGCAGCCTGGAGCTTGGGACACACTGCCACTGTTCTCAGCTGGTGTTCACAGAGCAGCTGCATTCAACGTGCCAGGCACGTCTCAGGGCAGCCAGAGCGAGGCTGAGAGCCTGCCCATGAGCTCACCATCTGCAGGGCACAGTGTAGCTCCCAGGAACCAACAAAGCCACATAGCCACCCCTGTGGTTTGCAGGGGAGGGTGAGGACTGGGATTCTAGGATTCCGGCTGGGGAGGCTAGGGAGAATCTCAGAGGGCGCTGGGAATCACAGAGGCCCAGAAAGGAAGTGAAAGAGCAGGTTTTGATTTTAGTGGGGTTTTTGGGTGGTACGTGGGTTTTGATGCAAAGCTTTGTCCTTGCTTGGCAAGCGCTGTCACCTGGAGCACTGGAGGTTGGGCTACCGGTGCAGCCCTGAAGGCTGGGGGGGGGGGGGGGGGGGGGGAAGGGGTAGAGGAGGAGGGAGGTGGCCACATAGGGACCAGATGAAAAGTCCCTGACGGTGCTCTTCTCTCCCACCTGCCTGCCCTGCAGTCCGACCTCTTCCAGGATGATCTGTACCCCAACACAGCGGGGCCCGAGGCAGCCTTGGAGGCAGAGGAGTGGGTGAGCGGGCGGGATGCAGACCCCATCCTCATCTCACTGCGAGAGGCGTATGTGCCCAGCAAGCAGCGTGACCTGAAGGTCAGCCGGCGCAACGTGCTGTCAGACAGCCGACCCACCAGCGCTGCCCGCCCTGGGACATCCACAGCCGCCTCCGCCACTGCTGACACCGCCCCCAGCAGCAGCCTCGTGGGGGCCGGGGTAGGTGCCAGTCAAGGGTGGTGGTAGGGAGTCCCAGATGTTGGCCTCATCTGCCCTGCACCTGGGCCTCAGGCTGCTTCCCGGTGGTAGGTTTGGGGAGCCGTGTGGCTACTGGCCCCTGACCTCGGATGTCCCTGCAGGAGGCTGGGAAGCTGGAGGAAGTGGTGCAGGAGCTTCGGCGGCTGCGGGCTCTGGTCAAGGAGCAGGGAGAGCGCATTGGCCGCCTGGAGGAGCAGCTCGGCCGCCTAGAGAACGGGGATGCTTAGGGCTGCTGCCCACCCATGCCCGTGCCCACACGCCTCCTTCAGACCCTTCTCACTTCACTTCTGCCGGCAGGCCTCACCAGACTCGGCTGCCCAGGGCTTCTGGGGCAGGGCATGAGCCACTGTGCCCTCACCCCTGCCTGGGGCCCTGGCAGGCCATCGCCTAGCTTGTCATTCGTATATATGGGGGGAATCGTTGTATCAGTTCAAGCTCGCCTGTATTCTGAGGGACCGCGTCTCTGGCCCATCCAACCCTCTGCCCCCTCCCCAGAGAAGATGGCAAGAATGGGATCTATATTTTCATTCCAAATAAAATTCTCTTTTTAAAAGCTACGTTTGCGCCGTTGCTGCAGAGGGCAGGGGTCTTGGAGCCTGGGACAGGTGAGGTGTGGGAACTCACGGCTCCCTTGAGCCCCTCCAGGCAGACTGGAGCAGAAGACCTGCGGAGACATGCCTCTGTGCCCTGCTCTGAGGACTTGCTCCTCCCGTGCAGGCCTGGTCACAGGCTCTGTGGTTTGGGCCTCATCTTGTGAGGCCTGGACAGTTTGGTGAGTCTGGTGGTCCTGAGATGCTGAGGCTCCACCAGGGTCCTGTGACAGGCAGGAGTGGGTGGTGCATTGTGGGCAGGAAGCGGAAGTGTCGGGTAACCCGTAGCTGCAGTTGAGAGCTCTGGGGCTCACTTCTTGCTCAACACAGCCAGAAGTGGAGGTGGGCTCCCAGCACAGAGGCCAGTGGACCAATGGTGAGCAATGAAGCCTGCTGGGCTCTTGGGAACTTGGGGCAGAAGACCCAAGGAGATCATGGGGTGGGGGGAGCTGGGCTGCCAGGCTTTGTGGGGCTCAATATTACTGTTCTAAGCTGGGCACCAGTTCCAAGCTGCCTATAATTCAGATCTCAGGAAGCTGAGATCTGAGGATCTTGGTTCAAAGCCAGCCCTGGCAAGAAAAGTCCATGGGACTCTTAAACCACCAGAAAACCAAAGTGGCGCTGTGGCTCAAGTGGTAGAGCACTCGCCTTGAGCTGAAGAGCTGAGGGACAGCATGCAGGCCGAGTTCAAGACCCATGACCAACAATAACAAAAAATTACTCTGCTCCAGGTCTGGTTCTGCTCAGGACCCCTGGGCTGGACCTCCTGTGAGCTGAGCCTTGGGCATGGCTCTTGCCCCGGGAGCCTGGGGGACTGGAAGAAAACTTTCACCCAGCACCCGTTCTACCACATACCCCACCTGCCTTGTTCCGACCGCAGGCTTCCTGACAGCTGCACCCACCAGCCCCGGCTCTGAGGCCCTTGGGGACGGGAGCAGATGGGGCGCTGAACGGAAACTCTGCAGCTGGGGCAGCCCCATGGCTAGGAGGAAGAGTAGGGCTCAAGGACCCTGATCCTGGGTCCCAACCAAGCAGAAGATGAAAGCTTGCCTCGGTTCGTCCTGCCTGGTTGATACCTTGCAGGCCCCTTCTCCCCGCTCCGCCTCCACCCTCGGTAGTTTTGATGTTGTGTTGCCAATACTTACTAAGCATCAAGATATGGATCTAGGTGTTTGGACCCCCCAATTTCATTGCTGTCCTGCAATTTACTCTGGTTGAGGGGGCAACAGCATATGCAAATAGAATTACTCTGTGAGAGGTGCAATGGGAGAAGGCAGGGTGGGTGAGGGGATATGGGGGGTGTTGAGTGGCTGACCACAGTCATAAACAGCAGGCTGGTGGTCAAAGGCTGGGCCTCACATCTCAGTGGAGCTGAGGCTGAGGTGAACAGGCAGCCACGTGGCTATGGGGTGCAGCGTTTAGGGCAGAGGGGAAAGCCAAGGCTTCGGGCTGCAGAGGCGAGTGGCAGGGTTGGGGGCTGGTCATGCTGGACCAGGGCCCCAAATAACAACTCAGGCTTTTCTGCTTGACTGTCCCCACTTTGTCTGAGAAGCAACAGAATACTTTCTCAGAGAAAGACGGAATGTGGTCTCAGCAAGCCAGCCAGGCCCAGCTGACAAGCCTCCCCTGCACCCCATCTCCCACAGGCTCTGCCCCGTGCCCTCGGGCTTGGAGTGCTGCTGGCCCTGCCAGGGGCCCTGGGCTCCGGAGGTGGATCAGAGGGTGGCGCAGGCTCCAGCTCTGTCACCATTGTCCTGCTGCTGCTGCTGCTCCTGTTGCTGGTCACAGGCCTGGCCTTAGCCTGGCGCCGCCTCAGCCGAGACTCGGGGGGCTACTACCACCCGGCCCGCCTGGGGGCCGCGCTGTGGGGCCGTACCCGCCGCCTGCTCTGGGCCAGCCCCCCAGGCCGCTGGCTTCAGGCCCACACTGACTTGGGGTCCCCAGAGGACCCAGAACAGCAGGAGGATGAGCAGGATGCGGAAGATGAGGACATCAGCGACAGTGTCTGCCTAGAGGAGGCTGTCCCCGGAGAAAAGGAGCAGCAGCGGGGCTCCGGACGCCGCCCCGAGCAGGCCCTGGAAGCACAGGACAGTGACCACGAAGGGGCCCTGGGCCTCGGCGCTGTGGGGCCGGTGGGCTCAGGGGGCAGTGCTGAGGCCCTGCTGAGCGACCTGCATGCGTTTTCAGGCAGTGCGGCGTGGGACGACAGCGCCAGGGCAGCAGGAGGCCCGGGCCTCCATGTCACAGCGCTGTAGGAGCCGGCCTCAGGTCCCAGACTTGTGCCACCGCTTCCCAAGCTTGCCCTAGACCTGCTGTCACCCAAACCCCAGATAGTGCCCCCCAGTCTCCAAGCCTGAGTGCTCCTCCTTCAGAACGGCAGGTACCCCACAAGCATTGGGGCACCCCTGAAATAAAAGCACACAGCCCTGTGGTTCTGAGGTCCTGAAGTGTCCCTCCTCTCCCTAAGCCGGGGCCTCCCTTGCTCTGGAGCCCAGTGGAAGCCAGTCTGTGTGCCATGATTTAGTCTTTTAATTCTACAAGGGCACAGTGCAGTGTGGCGCCCCCCACCTGCAGTGTGCAGCCTTCCACGTGCGTGATTCTGGGGCTGCACATCCTCAGCAGACCCCTCCGTCCCCCGGCCACACCAGGCTCCTGAAGCTGGCACGGGGCCTCACTTCCCTGGTGCCACCCTTGTCACCTTGTCCCCACTTCCTAGCGCCTGGGGCGCCCGCGGCCCTTCTTGGACTTCTTGGCCCCCGAGGGGGGCCGGATGGGGAGAGGGGCGGAGCTGGAGGGCGGCGGCGGCGATGGGGGCGGCAGGAGTGGAGGCAGAGGTGGATCGATGGGTTCTGGTGGGCCAGGGCTTGGCCGGAACCCCTCAAAAGGGGAAAACTTGAGGGGGCTACAGGGGAAAACAAGGCAGAGAGTCAGAGCCCCCAGGACCCGGTGGGGAGGTGGCACCGCGGGAGGAAAGGCAGGCCGCACAGGAGCTCCCAGGCGTAAGCCCCTGCCCAGACCCGGTGTGCAGCAGCTGGTCTGCTGTGCATGGGCCGGAGCCCCTCCCCAGCCATGCACTCTGCACCTCGGTACCTGATAGGGGTGCGGGGGCTGCTGTTGAGGCGCCGTGGGGAGCGTAGCTTGGGCTGGAAGGAGAAGCCCTCCTTGATGCTGTCCAGGACAGAGGGCGCCACGTACGTGAAGCCCTGGAGAGGTGGGGCCGGGCCATGCTGAGTGACTGCACCCCTGGGCTGCGATCCCCTCCAGCTCCCCCAGGCCCCCCGGCCCTGCACTACCAGAAAGGCCTGGTCAGCGCTCTCACTCAGGGCTGTGTCGTCTGGACTGTCCACTGGCGTCTGCCGCGTGAAGCGGGTATCAAACTGGCTCACGTCCTCCTCCGACTGCTGTAAGCCAACCCAAACGAGGAGGGTTCGAGGGATCGCAAGGAGACAGCAGCCCCTGCCCCGGGTTCAGACCCGCACACTCACCAGACTCGGCCTGAAAGGAGGGTCCACGCGGTGGGCCAGGAGGTCGTTCCAGTTGATGTGGCGGAAGAAGGGGTGCCTCTGAGGGTAGGGAGTACCCCAAACATGCCAAGCGGTCCCTCTGCCTGGTCCCAGTGGTAGCCGCCGTGTCCTCGGGCCCTCCCCCTCAGGTGGCCCCACACTCACCTGCACTTCAGCCGCGTCCCCAGGGCCACCTCCTAGCCGCTGGATGGGATTCCGCTTCAGAAACTACAGGATCAGGGCAGAGGGTGAGAACCGGGGGGAGCCACGACTGGTGACGCCCAGAAACCCCCCCGACCCCAGGGCTGGCCAGGGCCAGGAGGGCCAAGCCCCCCAGGACTTTCAGGGTGAGTCAGATGGCGGGTTCTCCAGGAAGCCTTTACAAAGGTTTTACATCACTAGCGTCACCCCAGATAGCTTTACTTTTTTTTTTTTTTTTTTTTT